ACTCAAGGTATTATATAATTAGTAAAATTACTTTTTTCAATTTAAAAAGTATAAAATAGATTTTTAACTTTAAGTATTACAGTATTATTTACCTTTTTACAGAGGGCTTACTTTGAGGGATTAATTGGGATAATCAAAATTATAAGCTTTGTACCATCTATTGATACATTGTTTTAGTAGCAGTTGAATATGCAGAATTATGTAAGGCCCCCGGATAAACTTGAATGCAAAAAAAAATGCAATAGTCAATCAAATTCATGGATCTTCATGTCGATTATTTCAGAATTTGATTGCCTAATTTGCTATACACCCAGACTGAAATGGCAGGATTTTATTAGATCAGGAGGGTTCTGATGTGAAACTTGTTCTTGCAGATTATGAGTGCACAATTGTTAACGATTGGTAGCGGCCCAAATAGGCAACTAATTAAAATCCTCATGTGCAGATTCACGCAAGATCAGCCTATCTATTAGCCGATCTGGACTGATGGCTGTGCTCTAAATCGTTCTCAGACCAAATCTTGCTTAGCCATGTCTTCAATCTGTTGACTTCTGTCAACTCGAATTAATGAAGATTGTTGATTTAAAAAGATGCAAAGCATAATCAATTCTTGAATTAAGGTTATTATAGTATTATCTTTATATAAGAATTGTCTAGAGTGCTCAACGGTTAAAAAGTAATTGAACTAGTAATACACATACACGATATTAATCAGTAGATCTGTTTTTTTTTGCTATCAAATGATTAAAATAAAAAATTCGATTATCATTCGAAGGGTATCAAAATGAATTTGATTTTTTTTTTTTTTTTTTTTTTTTATATAAAGATCAAATCCAGCAAAGCAAGTTTGAATTTTACCCATAATGATTCAATCATAAATAAATTGATTAAAAGTATAACAAATAAGAAACAATGCTATCTCATATAGCACTTCTTATAGTAATTACTTCAGTAAAAACTAATCGTTTATGTTCATATGGTTATGGCAAGTATAAAATTTCTAGTCAGACATTGCGTTCCATCAGATAGAAATACTTTTTTTCACCAAACGAATCACCACAAATAGTTAGTTCTAGAGATATTATATTTATCACTGGTAAATATGTTATCGATAATTCTGAAGAATGTGTAGCTATCGCATATGCCAGTATCATTGATACTGGAAAACCTGAACATGAGTTTGATATAACTGGCATCCCCATATGTATATTCCATTGCATGATTACAGTCTGTGTTAATCGTACTCCCAAAAAAACTGAAGAATTCATCCATTTCGGAGCAAATTGTGTAGAATACAACTCAGTTACTGGAACATCTAATATTAAAATAGAAATAACTATTCTTTACAACTTCCAATCTGTAAGATTTAAACATCTAGGTGCATCAGAAATTAATATCAAAATAAGCAATTTATATTATCTCAGTGTTCATTAAATTCTCTGACTCTGACAAAATGATGATAGAAGCCACAGACATTGATTTTCAAAAATCCCCAACCAACTATCTTAACACGCCTGAAATTTCATCTGATAAACCAAAGACTTGCTCCATTATCAATATTATTGCTAATAATATTGATCCTGTTACTACACAAACATCTAATCAATTATCTTCACCTAAGACGATGTCTGCCTTTACCTTTCCTGATATAAAAATCAATTCGGCTCATGAAAAAAAGAACCAATCAAAATTCAAGGTCGGGACTGATGATAAAGAACAGCAAAGTGATCATCATGAAAAAGAAAATAAGATATTTTCAGATGACTATGGAAAGTCAACAGGTGAAAATAAAGAACAAGAAGATGAAGAGCAACCTAAGAAGAGAAAATGAAGCATTAGAACTATTAAGAAGGAAAAAGGAAAGAACATTGTAAAATAAAAAAAAGTAATATGTAGCAAATAGCTTTTTTTTAAATGTTATTGCATATGTTATATCCACGAAATAAATAACATTGAGCTTTTGAACAAAATTAAGTGTAAATTGATCAATACGTTTAATAATCACTCAAATTATCCTGATTAACAGGTTTCATATAGCATATTAGTAACCTTTTATTAATTGAAGTTATTTATTACGAGTATAAATTTTTTAGTATACGTTACAATAATTATATTATTTTTTTTATCAACTTTATACAGAATGTAAAGTTTTCAATAAATAATATACATTCCATATTATATTATATACGATACTCCTTTGACTGACTTTACTATATATATTATTACAATAACTCACCTTTGGGTATGACCTTTCTCTACGTAAGATTTTGTCATCACACACACATTACCTAGTGTACATTCTGTATTATACTATATACGATACTTCTTTAACTGACTTTACTACACATATTATCGCAATAACTCCTCTTTGGATATGACTCTTCTCAACGTAAGATTTTGTCATCATACACACATTTCCTAGCATAGATTATCTTAGAGTTAGAAGTCCGATTCAAAATTTTTCATAAGGTCAAACAGTCTTAATTGGGTTTAAACAGATATAAAACAGATCCAGACTCCAGATAATATGATAAGAGCTGTGTAAAGACATCGCATTATAACATAGTACATAAAATTGGAACAACCAATAGGAATCAAGATTTTGTGGACAAACGCGATGTATGAACTAAACCATATACTTCGTACTTCGTACTATGTTCCTGATAAATATATACCTGCAACTAATCAAATGCTTAACCCTAACCTTATGTGATTTCGGTTAAATGAACATTTGGTAAAATTATTGTCAGTGAATTGATTGGAACCGCAAATATTAAGAACAACGAGCTATATATGATCATCTTTTCTAATTAGAAATTTTGGAGTTAGCATTAGACCTGAGGTTTGCAAAAATTTTTTTGCTTCTTTAGGCGTTTTCTCTGAGACGCCAATCAGGCGTACAGGTTTGCAAATTTAGCGTGGACTCCATTTATAAATAATTTTAGTGAATTTACAGATAAGGGACCAAAAATGAAAATAATTACAAATAAGAGCCTAAAATGAAAATAATTACAGATAGAGGCCCGATGTTTGAAAATTATTACAAATATGATTGTAATATAGCTATTAATTGTTAATGCATAAGAAACATAATAATAATCCTTATAAAAAACACTATGTCAAATATAAAAATACAAATCAGTATGATTTTTACTAAAATGAAAATGTTTATTCAGCCTTTGACAGTTATTCTGTTGAATTTTATTTTTATAACTTCAGAACAAACAAACAAAATAAGCTGTTGGCTATTTGTTTTACAAATGAAACCAGTTCATGCCCTTCACTATTTCAACTAACAAGCATACAGATGGCTATTGTCATATAGTAAGACTGATTCCTCATGATCCAACTTGTTTAACTTCTATGGAAACATTCAAGGTGTGTGGATCGTACCTTGTAAAGTTTACAGTATTGAAGAAGTTCATTTTGATTGGTAATTTATTTATACAGTCAATTGTAATTAACAGCCATAAGATTTTGTTTGCTGTTTATCTTTTATTTCTGAATTTGCTTGAGTAAATGCATATTCATTTGATGGTTTGTATTTTTGAGTATCCCATAAGTGCCACTTTTCCTTTTTAAACTAAAAAGAAAATGTTTATTTCAACATGTACCGTAAACTGCCGTATACAAGATCCCCATATATCAGACCCACCTACTAATTATTTTCTTTTTTTTACTGATTAATTTTTTTGGTGGAATGTAAGAGGCCTGGGTCTTTTATATGGCAGTTTACGGTACTTCATATCGGCGGTTTTGGAATTTACTATTAAAAATTCTAATAATATTTAACTGTGAATAACTTTTGATCCACTGGTCTGTTTCTGATGAAACAATTACCAAAATGTTCGTCTCGATAAAATGATTCTAATGGACCCAAAATTGTCAAAAAAATCTAATCACAGGATCCTGAGGTCGATAGAGATTTGTGTCACTTCAGGTGTTTTAGGATTAGTTAAACCAATTCTAAAATACCCGAAGCAAAACAAATCATTAATGATATTGGGATTCTGTAGTTGGATTTTTGACAATTTTGGGTCCATTAGAATCATCTCATTGAGACGAACATTTTGGTAATTGCTTCATTGGAAACGGACCAATGGATCAAAAGTTATTCACAATTCAATATTATTAAAATTTTTAATAGTAAATTCCAAAAATCTGCTGATATGTGTGCTTGTACTTGTACTATACAGGTATGTGTGTTATGCACATGCCAATTCTAGTACATTTCTCCAAAAATTTGTTACTGAATCCATGTTGTATTATAGTTTTTTTTTAATGCTTAGCATTTCTTTTAGTCAGTGATAGCATGCTTTGTTTCAATTTAGAGCTTACTTTGATAATAAAATGCAAGATTTGAGAGGGTCATATTGTCAAGAAAAATATGTTGACAATTTATAAATGATTAATTAACAAAAAGAAAACTCATGATTTTGCTTAAGTATTTTAAATTATTGACCTTAATAAAATTAATTTGCTGAAAGTACATATTGATTAATTATACTTTATCTATTTGTTTGAATTTACTAAATTTGATGAATTCTATATACATATTTACTTTTCTTTATATTTATATTATTCTATTATTACAATTTTGAGTTTTACTAGTAAATTAAAGAAATGAAATGTTTTTGTATTATGCCAATTGTGCAGTATTTTCAGTGGAAGGTATATTGCCTATAGTAATTGCACAAATTTACAAATTAAACATTTGTAAATTTTAATATAAAATAATTATAAAAAATTATTTGTGCTATTTATTGAAGTAATAAATAATTTGATTGTTAAAATTTATCTCAATACATCATTATATTTTTTTAAATTTTGACTTGTAAATAAAGATTTTTATTGCATTTTAATATATCAATATGCAATAATTAGCACAATATTAAAAACTTAAATTATTAAGAAAAATCAAAATTTTTTAAGATTTCAATGTTTGTAACAAAATATTATTTTTGCTTGTTTTTTAAATTTTACTATAATTAAATAATTCCTTATTTGTTATATTTTTATTTGATTTATTTTTAACCAAAATATCTTTACATATTTCTCTAATTGTTGTTATTGTTTTGAAAGATAAAAATCTTCTTTTATACAAGGTTTAGTAAAATATCAATTAGATAAAGGTGTTTTAAACAATTAGATAGAAATACTTTTATTTATTTGATAAATCTTATTTATAATTCTTGCTAATTAAATCAAATGCAGCTTAATAAAAATCTTACTCAAAAATAGTTAGAATATATATATTACTAAAAAAGAACTTTAAAATTAAATTTCAATTAGATGAACTACTAACACTGCTTAATCTACATTACTAATATTCAAAGAAATATATAAATCCAGAATGCAACAGATGCATCCAAACAATTGAGAACAATACCTATTAGTCAACTTGTTCAAAAAATCTAATATAACTATACCAACTAATAACAGAAATGGTTACAAAGTACTGCTCAAAACAGAATAACCAGATACTAAACATTGCAACACTAGTACAAAATTTTTTCATAAATGGTACAAGCACATCTAATATTCTATTATTAAAAGGATTAAATCTAGAGGATATCCAGACTATCACTTCAACCCATAACAATACATTTATCAAAATCTTGTACAAGATATTCACTAATATATACAAATAAATATGGCTTAATTGCTGTAAAGGTATATATCAGAATCAGCTTTTTACAGACATACACTGTTATAACCTTGTCTTACTCTCTTATACATTACATTAGCACAATTAAATATAACAAATAAAAAAGGTTTTTTCTTACAACTAACATTTTTACATTATATATAGCTAATTTAAATTTAGTAGAAACTAGATAGCCTACTCTAGTAAAGCATTAGATTAAAAATAAAATAGCCCTAGCTGTAGATCTCTATAATAATTCATATAATCCACTTAAACAATGTAATGCATAAATCTCTACTATCTAATGCAGAGTTTGTACATTTTAGCTGATTTGATTGGTTGTTGGTGTTTTATTCGTGGTTCATGCGTATTAACTATTTTTGTTCATTGAATGATTGTCTAAAATAACGATAATGACATCAATAAGTGCACGTTATTTTATTAATTTTTCCCCATGCTTACCGATTCAAGCTAATCAGTATCAGTCGTGGAGACAAGATCTTAAGTAATATAAAAATTGACAAAAACAACAAAAAGTCACATTAATTTTAAGTTTCACCTAAAAAAATCGCATTTTCATGTACTAACTAAAAAAAATTTCTACAAAATTTTGGTATGACTTATAATTAAAAATTACCTTTGACTCATTATTACTAGATTACCATATAAATACTGTAATATATGGGCACTACCAACGGAATTATTTTGTGATGACTTTTTATAAAATAAAATCTATATAATTTAAATGAGAAAGTTGTATATTTTACCGTTTTTGATTTGTCATTATAAGTATGATATTCAGGTGATTTGATAAATTGGGTTATCTCTATGCAATTATGACATAATTACAGAATTATTGTATTGGGTTATGCTATTATGACATAATTACCAAATTAATATAACTGTGAGAAATTTAAGCAAGAAGCATGTATTTTAACATTTTTGATTGGTTGTTACAAGTTATGATATTCAGTTGATTTGATAAATCAGGTTATTGCTATGCAATTATGACAAACTGTCCTAGCATTATCAACATAAAAAAATTTCTCAAAATTTAGCAATTATCCAAAATTTTTAAAATTTTCTAAACTTCTAGCAAAGTTTTTTCAATAACTACTAGACCAAATTCGGTAAAATTTTTTTTTATTTTAATATTGTACTTTTTAGAATCAAAATAAAAAAAT